GCTCCCTCCCAGCTCCCTGCCAGACAGTCCACATTTTTGCTCCCTCCCAGCTCCCTGCCAGACAGTCCACATTTTTGCCCTTTAGGGAGCTGGGAGGGAACGAAAACACGGACTGTCTGGGGTCCCTAAGGACCGGATTAGAAAACACTGGCCTGCAGAAGTGTTCACAATAAATAAGGGCAATAATGGGCCCTTTCTCTACTCTCTGTTTACAAGACTGTAAACAATTACCCTAGGCAAAGTCACAGGGAGCCTGGATCCTATCCCAAGCAGCACAGGCACAAAGTTGGGGTACACCCTGGACAGGACTGCCAGTCCATCATAGATGCAGTCATACACTGCAACCAATTCAGAGATGCCATTCAGCCTGGTCACATGTAAGGAGAAAAGCCCACACGACTCGGGAAAAGCATTAAACTAAGCACACACAGTACAGGATGCATTCGAACCCCTAACCCTTAGGATGTGAGAAAACAAATTTACTGCCAGCAGATCCATTTCACCATTTTAATGTTCGTTATTAATATTTATTTGTTTAAAATTCCATAAATGTTTGTAACGTGGGCGGAGCACTGAGGACGGCTGCCCCAAGTCATAAAATTCCCCACTGCTAAGTCTTGCATAGACCTCTGCCAAGAATACGCTGTAGTTCAAGCTGTGGTTCAGCGGTATTTGTGTTTGCAGCCTCTAGCCACTGTTTTGGTGGGTTCTTATGCAACAGACCCTTAGAATTACCCTCACCCCTGTCCTGCCCGCATTTTCCTCCCTGTACTTACACTACCAGTCAAACGTTTTTACACACCATGGGTTTTTACCACTTTTCTGTTTATTTCATAAACAGCAGATTTTTTATTCTTGTTAACTACTGGAAACTAGTGAACAACTACAGATGAAAATATAAGTCAAATAAAACAAGTTTTCTTCATAACATGGAAAGAGTTTGTAACAGTGCATGTCTGACATCCCATTAACTGGTTGTGTGGAGATGGCATAGTCACATTCTTGACTGTCCTTTAGATTAGTAGTTAACGGTTTTATCCCATGACACAGAGCAGTATTTAATGTTCCTTGTAGAAAGAGTGCCTCTGCTGTTATAACTGCTAGAGAAGGTTACTTTGATGAATCAAAGATATGACATTTGCTTGCTAATAAAGTTTCTGAAATGGTGAACATACTGTAAATGTATTTGTTAGAAAAGAATATTGAGCGTATTTTTAGTAAATGTTAAGGGAGTACCATGCAAATGTAGAAAAACTTTTGACTGGAAGTGTAAGTCTGGACCCATAACAGACCCTCAATTTATTGTCAAATGATCATTGCAGTATTAATTTACACCATTAATGGAATTATAATTCGTAGATGCAAACAAACCATGAAAATGCATAAATAAATATCCTTATTTTATGGTACAAACACAGAATCCAGTAGTTTATATTTATTAAATTATTGAGTCCATAAATATGAACAGACAAACTTGACAAAGATTTCTAACACATAGCCTAACTTTATTAAACCTGAATATTAGTCTATATGCATTTGTTTCTTTGATTGAAATTACTCAAAAATCTGGCATTCATCAGTAAAAGAACAGCACAACATTCTAGCTGCATTGATTTAATTGCTCCTGTATAAGTGGAGAAATATATTGCTGGTGTTTGTAGGAAAATCAGATTTAAACAAGAACACTGGTTGTTTGGCCCTATTATAATATAATATGGAGGATGTGTACAAGGTGCTTTGGAAAATCCACAAGCATGTCATTCATTTTACAAAGAGTGACCCTTACTGAGATTCAAATAAAACCATTTCCTATTTATATCTCAGAGGAGATAATACTCATCTCTTCTTGGGCACAAAGCCCTGACACAAATGATTTTCACAATAAAAGGAGCGTAAATTCTTAGCCAGGTTATATAATTTTCCTACACTGCAATTCCAGAGCACAAAGGGTGTGTTTACAATTATTGTCAGTAGATTTTTGTGAGAGAATGAAAGAGAGAGAGTGAGAGAGACAGACAGACATATAAAAATCTCATTACGCTCTAAAAGGGAGTAGATTTGGAGTGAGACATGGCATGCTTACCTCACTGTTTAAGAAGCAGTAGAACACTGATACAAAGAAGCCCTGGAGTTGGGAGAGGAAGGCAAAAAAAGAGAAGATAATGATGTCGAAGACGGAATCATTAAATACAAAACATACAGCAATGGATCTTCAGTGTGAGCCTTTTATATGGAATTACAGTACAATCTTTATTTCGCTCATTTATCTGATCTTCATCCATGACATTTCGCGTCAGCTGGCAGTAATAAGGAACATCCTCAGCGAAATATAGTAAAGAAAGTATACCTGCAATATCATCCATCCATCCATCCATCCATCCATCCATCCATCCATCCATCCATCCATCCATCCATCCATCCATCCATCCATCCATCCATCCATCCTAGAGTCCAAGAGGGCAGCATAGTGCACAAGGCTAGAATACACCCTGAATGGGATGCCAATTCTTCACTGTGTCATAAATTCATACATCAACCACTATTTGAAATATGAGGTGGAGTTTAATTTTTTGGAAACCATCAATCTTCACTGGTTAGTTTGAATACTGGATTTTGGTTGAAATGCATTTTCTATACAAGAGCATAACCTTGGGTTAAGCATTGTGGGGTTGAAGTTTTCACCCATTTAAGGGAGTCCCAGGGGGTGTATTGGCTGATTATTTGGGGGTGGGGTTTATAACCCTCCTTCCTCCCCACAATTTACCCCATGTAAAATATAAAAGCCTTGACACACCCCTTAATCAGGCCATGTAAAATGTAATTAAACCATTCATTGTGGCATAGCCTAGTACTTTTACAAAGTGAAAATCGGGGCTACTGTGAAGTAGCTTACCTGAAAAGATTCCAGAAATGAGTTAAAGTATATAAATACAATCTGTGAAATTTCATCCTCTCCAGGGTTTACAAAGAACAACATGTAAGTAATGCCAAGGAGAGGCAGGAGGACCAGTGTCGCTTTCACAGCTTTCCTATGGAGACACAAACATGCACATCAACGGTTTGCTACTAATTTACTGCTGGCATCAAAGGTGTGAAGAGCTGCTAAACTGCTTGTCCTGTTAAAACGACACCACACTTTTTCAAACACTGAATGGTAAAGGGTATCTTAAACAATAATATGTTTTGTGGCTGGATATTTCATATATTAGCATTATCTCCCATAATGCATTATGGTTGTTTGCTTTTTCTGCATCACCTGTACTGTATCGTCTCCGATGTGGTGGAAGCTCTGAGCTTGGTCATGAGGATCCTCACAATGTTGAAAAGGAAAATGAAGTTGATCTGGGGAAGCGAGACAATTCAGATATAGAGGCCTGCATATATTTGGAAAGTGAACAATGGATTTCATTGAATGTCCACAAACTCCACACACAGTGAACAGACAGAATATGAGTGTCAGGGTTCTTCAGTTCTAATAGTCTGATGGGGAGTTCCAGGTATTTATCCTGTAATGGGGTCGTCACCTTGAAAGTGGTCATTGACACACCCTGCTTTGCAACAAGTCGTTAGGGTGACTTGGGGTGTGAAACTTTGGTTCCACCTGAGCCGAGGTGTGAACCATTCACAGGTGCCCCTCACATTTAAATCACCTGGACAGGGATCTCAAGACTGTGCTATAGGTGGCTGATTATTTCTGTCTTAAGGCTCCACCTCTGTTCAGTGATGGTTGTTCCTCTTGGACGTAGACGGCCTCCTTTACTCTCATCTCAAACCACCTCTTCTCTGTCCAAAATGTGCACATTTGTATTCTCAAAGGAGTGTCCCTTCTCCCATGTTCTGGACGACTGAGAACCCACACAGACGAGTGTCAGGGTCTGTCCCTGTCTTGTCTGTCATCCCCCTGTTTGGCCAGCAGGTGTCACTGGCCATCCCATCATTTTTTGCTGTATTCTGTAAGTGTAACACCCTTCTTTCTTCATTCTTCTTGTTCTCTTAGTATGTTCCCCTGCTCCCCGGGACTCCTTATGGTCCGTTTTGGTTCTAGTGTCATTCGAGTTCAGTTTCAGTAAACTTTCTGTTTCCAAGCCACTCTGTGGATTATTCCTGACCATCCTTGTGTGACAATGAGTGAAAACAAAGATTTTTTCAGGTTCAATTGCTTGACATAAATTCTTTGGTGTCACCTTAATCAACTCATTCTATTAGAATTGTGACAGAGTGATAGTATCAACACTGTCCTGCTCCTCTATTAGATCAACATAGAAGAGAAATGTCAGTGAGAACATTAGTATTGCTCATTGGCTAGTCAATTGAAAGGTAAGACTGTAATGAGTATAAGTTGGCAATTATGTTATTATTATTATTGAACAATGCATGATTGTTTGTTGTTTGTTGCTACTTACCAATCAAGGTTTGAGTTATTTTTGTTCATGAGAGCAAATGATCATCTCATTAGGAGCATGTGGCGGTAATGAGAGCCAATGTCCTAACTGATTACGAGCTGGACTCTTTAACAACACAATTATTATTGAGTTTTCAGCGATATTACATCTGGCTGCAGTCGAAGCTTTAAAGAGTTGAATGTGAATAATCACGTTTTGGTAACTGACTATTTTGAATTTTAGAAGAATTTTGAGAGATGGTGTCACTACACTGTTGATGATGGATTACATATTACATACAGGGTTTTATATACTTGGTATACATACTTTATACATTTAACACAAAACACTTTATACATAAAACACAAGATCTCACCAGCAATACCAGGAT